CTTTCACCAGTCATGCTTGTTTGAAACATGTAGGTTGGCAGATTCGCTAAATTCTCTTTTCCTGTACAGTATTTCTTCTGTTTTATAAAATAGCGTCCTGGTTTGTGGAACTCACAGTCAAAGACCTTTTCCCACCATAGTGGGAGAATCCTATCCTCTTGTGGGTTCAAAGGGTCTAAGGAGAGGAGGAAATTTCTGAATTCTGAGATATCTCCGCTGTGGTCCCTAAAATGCAAAGACCCATACAAGTGCTTTAAATCTTTCCAAGTATCATGAAGATGGTTTGTATGTGGTTTCCAATATGAAGTTAAGATCTAAACTTTTGGACATTGTTTTTTCAAATAAGTTCAGAGACAAAAGAAATGTTTCAACAATATCAGGTTCTGCAAAGAAAAGAATGACTTCAACATTAGCCCATAGTTTTGAAAGTACTGTGAATTTGAACACTTCTTCATGAGAAAAATCATGTTTCACCCTTTGAGTGAAGGCCTGGCAGATCTCCTTCTCCATGAGCATTGGCCTCAGAGTTGAGATGAATCGTTCTCCATTCTCATTTTCAGAGTCAATAAACCCAACCCAGTTCCACTGGAAATACAGGAGCATCCGGACTAAACCCACATATTGAGGAAATTCCTTGGGATTAATCCAAAAAGAGGAAGGATAAACTCTTTGGTTTCCCTGAATGAACTTAAAGCCAATGCTGAGATGGAAAAAAATGAGAATCTTCTTTAAAAGAGAAAAGATAAAGATTGATGGTGACTTTAGAGGTCTCCATTTTGTAGTTTATTGACCCCGTCAAGCTGAGTCACTTTGAGACATAAGATTCTCCCTTTCTCTGGAAGAACCACCAATTAATATATTTTCCCTGGTTGTGACATTTCAGAATCCAAGGAAACCAACCATAAAGTTGGTACAGGGAATAAACCACAATGAAAGAGTACTTACCCTTCTATGAATATCACATTATTCATAGGTGCAGAAATATTACATTATGTATCTCTTAGACGAAGAACCACCAATTAACAGATTTTCTGTTAAAATATATCTTGACACATAAAATATCAAAATGAGTCCAATTGTAGCATTACTTCTCAAAGTCATATAGTATTGATGTCAAGCTCTTTTTGGTGTCATGTTGGACTTTTGTGTTCACTTCTGTAATTTGTCTCCTCCATAACTATATCTAAAGGAGCCCCCTTATCTGTGGGATCTTGAAGATACTGAAGATGGAGGCCATCAGCATTGAGAATTGGGAATTGTCACCTCCAAAGACAGAGAAGAGAGTGTCCCTCTGGCCACATTTGTAGCCTGGAACCATTTGGTCATGTGTGGAGAGCAGAAAGAGGCTGATCAACAAAACTCTTTTGTTCCAATTGGCATTGTCATACATATTGAAGCCCAGAGTGATGTTGAGGAGGAGAACCAGATGCTGGTTGATCTCTGTCACTGCAAACACCAGGGCCATGAACGTCTGGTAGTTGTTGGGTATGGGTCTACAGTGAGAGAAACATTGTGAAACATTACACCAAAGCATGTGATGAAGTTTGCCTTGTATTCTTTCTTTGTGGGCTTTTCTTTGGAGTCCCAAATATTAATGGTTTTTGGGGGAAGATGCTTCTTGATTAAACTTGGATGACTTTGTGGGAAAGGATACTAAGTCAGAGCTGTCAAACTTGCCACATCACAGCAGTGTCATGTGATGTCTAGACTGGGCATGGGTGCTAGACTGGGAGTGGCCAGCGTGTGACACATCCAGCCTGTGGGCCACAAGTTTGATAGCCCTGTGTTAATAGTCTGTGACATTCTCTCTATATATCACAGTTTGATTTTATGGATTGCACTCAATGGAGAACTGATTTTCTCCACTGTGTGAACTGTGTGAACTGATTCACACAGGAGATACACAATTTCAGTCTCTATCTCCAAAGAGAGATTCAATCAGGTTGGTCTCTCTTGAGCTTCAGGAAAGTGGAAAAGGCCTGCACTATCTACATGAAGGGCTTTTGGTGAAGGATGGGTTGCATCTTAAAAGAACTGGGCAGAATATATTCAGAAAGGAAGTCATGGCTCAACTCATCAAGAGGGCTTAAAACTAAAAATGAAGGGGAAGGCTGATCAATCTTTAGGATCTTTAAGGACTTAATTCCAAGCACAAACCCCAATACAACCAATCAAACGATGAAGTATCAAGTGGTGGGAAGGAAGAAAAACCCAGATATGAACTAGGAGTTGTAGGAAGCATACCCAGGGTTGGCCATAAAGGACTGAAATAGTTATGCTCTAATGCTCAAAGTTTAGGGAACGAACAGGGTGAGCTTGAAATACTAGTACACGAAGGCAATTGGGATATATTTGCTATTACTGAAACTTGGTGGGATGAAACACATGACTGGAATGTAGCGATGGAAGGATACTAACTACTAACTTCAAGAGAAGCAGATCTAACAAAAGTGGAGCTGGAGTTGCATTATGTGTAATAGATCACTTGCTCTCTACATAGATGCTTCCAAACCATTACAGTCTGGTTTGGAAGCATTTCTGCTTCAGACAGGAAGGCCATGCAGTGAGTGGTGAGGACAGCAGAAAAGATCATTGGCTGTTCACTCTCTTCCATCCAGGACGTGGCACATAAGCCATGCTTGAGCAGGGGCCATGGGATTGTCTGGGACGCTGCACATCATCTTTACATGACCAGGTTTTCATGTTCCCTTCTGGGAGGGGTCTTCATGGCATCCAAAGCAGAATCTCCAGATTCAGCCACAGTTTTGTTCCATATAGCATCAACCTTTTGAACCCTCAAGTTTCCTCTTTCCACTACATATTCAAGATGGACAGTGATTAATATTTATAGGTATGTATATGTTAGGGTTTAGGCTTATACATATGTCGTATATAGCATGTTTTTATGTATGTGTGCATTTTGAGAACAGGTAATAGAATTTCATTTTTAATCTGTGCCAGTGTACCCAAGTAAAAAAAATGACAGTAAAGGTTATCTTATCTAGATAGAATAGAATAACAGAGTTGGAAGGGACCTTGGATGTCTTCTAGTCCAACCCCTTGCCTAGGCAGGAAATCCTACACCATTTCAGACAAGTGGTTATCCAACATCTTTTTTAAAACTTCCAGTGTTGGAGCATTCACTACTTCTGGAGGCAACTTGTTCCATTGATTAATTGTTCTAAGTATCAGGAAATTTGTCCTTAGTTCTAAGTTGCTTCTCTCCTTGATTAGTTTTGACCCATTGCTTCTTGTTTTGCCTTCAGGTACTTTGGAGAATAGCTTGACTCTCTCCTCTTTGTGGCAGCCCCTGAGATATTGGAACACTGCTATCATGTCTCCCCTAGTCCTTCTTTTCATTAAACTAGACATACCCATTTCCTGCAACCATTCTTCATATGTTTTAGCCTCCAGTTCCTCTTCTCCTCTTCTCTGCATTCTTTCTAGAGTTTCAACATCTTTTTTACATCATGGCAACCAAAACTGGATGTAGGATTCCAAGTGGGCTTACCAAGGCATTACAAAGTAGTATTAACACTTCATGTGATCTTAATTCTATGATCCTTCTGTTTATGCAGCCTAGAACTGTATTGGCTTTCTTGGCAGTTCTGCACATGGTTATCTCATATTTAAATGGTTGTCCACTAAGACTCCAAGATCCCTCTCACAGTTACTACTATTGAGCAAGGTACCACATATACTGTATCTGTGCATTTGATTTTTCTTGCCTAAATGTAGAACCTTACATAACAAAGGATGAAAACCAACTAGCATACGGGTCAACTTAAAAGAAAAAAAGCATGAGATTGCCATAGTCATATTCTACAGGCCAACCAACCAAGCTGAAGAAATAGATGAACTTCTACAGTTTCAGTGGCTTCTCTGTATCCCATCTACTAGAAGAGATTTTGTCAGATTAATCCCTTTTGAGTTTCAGGAAAGCGGAAGAGGGTGTGTTGTAATTGTGGGACACCTAATAATTCAATTTATGTAAGAAATCTGCAAGTTAGTTTTAAAACTCTGTAACAAAAATAAACACAACAGAGGAAGGGAATGATATAAATAGAATAGAAATATGAAATGCCACTTAGACAGTGTGTCATCATGTGTGTGTATATTTCTGCATGTGTTTGTGTGCAGTTCCAAAGTCAGGACCTGTAGATAATTTGTTGTGTTAGTTATATGACACAATTTATAAAGGGAATGATTTTTGGTATAGTCTGTGTATGGCAGTGGTGGGATTCAATTTTTTTTTACTACTGGTTCTATGGGTGTGGCTTGGTGGGCATGGCCGGGGAAGGATACTGTAAAATCTCCAGTCAGTGGTGGTATTTGCCAGTTCTCTGAACTACTCAAAATTTTCGCAACCGGTTCTCCAGAACTGGTCAGAACCTGCTGAATACCATCTCTGGTGTATGAGAAATTAAAATAAAAAATAAAATTTTCTCTTGCTGAAATGGTCAACATTTAATTGCATTCTTTGCTCACATTCACTGCACAGTTTCCAAGTGATTCTACAATTTCCCATTCCTCCAACTTGACCTTTGTATCCTTCCTTCCTTCCTTCCTTCCTTACTATTTCTCCATTACCTCCCTTCCTTTCCATTTCCTTCCATTCATTCATTCATTCATTCCAGCAACTTATTCAGAACATGCTTAGGGATCATGTTTATAAAAGCGGATAATGAACCCAAGCAGAAAAGAAATTAAAGACTCTTTGGATTAAAATAAATGAACTGATCTGTTGGGAACTAATATCTACATAAATTACAAAAGTTAATTTCTATTGTGATTACTGGGGCCTCACTGGGGACAATGAAAAAGAATGAAGAATAAAAGGATAGTGATTGTTTCAGACCAACAAATATTTTGTGATTAGTCATATAAAATTATTTCCAATTATTTAATAGACAACATTTTATTGCATTTCATGATTTATTGTTGGAATCAGACCAAATACAAAAATATCCCAAAATCACAGTGCTGAATCTCCACTTAAGTCAGAAATTCTTCTGCCTCATTATATTCTCTTTACAATTAAGATTGGGCTTCAGTAGGATAATGTAGCATTTGGGGAAAAATATACAAGCCAAGAGACCAGCCCCAGAGGCCAAGATGGAGAAGATCTCCACGGCCACCATAGACTTCCCTTTGGTGCTCAGGTAGGTGGGGAGGAAGGTGATCCAAACACTGCAGAAGACCAGCATGCTAAAAGTAATGAACTTGGCTTCATTAAAGCTATCAGGCAATTTCCTAGCCAGAAAGGCCACTGTGAAACTCATAAGAGCCAATAAACCAAAGTAGGCAAGGACAACATAAAACATTGAAATAGAACCTTCCTTACATTCTGTGATGACCTCTCCAAACAAGGAATGGAAATCCATGTTGAGAAATGGCGGAGAAGTTCCCAGCCAGGTGGCACAAAGAACTGCTTGGATCAGGGGACAGCCTAAGACAATGGAGTTGGTCAATGGTTTTCCTAAGAGTTTCCTGGTCCTATGCCCTGGCTTGCTAGCCATGAAGGCCAGAACCACCATGACAGTTTTTGCCAACACAGAGGAAACTGCAAGGGAAAAGAGAATGGCAAAGGCAGTTTGTCGTAAGAGACAGGTCATCTTCCCAGGTTGACCTATGAAGAGGAAGGAGCAGAGGAAGCAGAGAAGAAGGGAGACCAAGAGGATGTAGGTGAGATCTCGGTTGTTGGCTTTGACGATTGGTGTGTCATGATGTTTATGGAAAATTAGCAGGACTGCAGATGTGGTCACAGAGAGGAAAAGAGTGAGAGAAACTAAAATGTATCCCAGGGTGTCTTGATAGGCAAGGAAGTGGATCTTCTTGGCAATGCATTGGTCCTGGTCCTTGTTGGGGTATTTGTCTTCTGGGCAAGGCTCACAGTGAGCTGCATCTGAAATCAAGAGTCTTTGATTATCATGAGAGTCTGAAATCTAAAGCACTGAATATCATGAGAGGGAATGGACTCTTTTCCGGATCCAAATTGATTTATAGGGAAATTGGTTACAGGGGGAAGGATATAGAATTGTCCACTGAATACTTTGAAAAGGAAAAGAAGTTGTACCCTAGAATATTGAAGAATATTGTAGAATGATTTTAAAACATCAATATTTTGATTTATGGAATGGTTCAGTGAAACTGGATGGTCTATATTTGAAGTACAAGCTCGATACCTGTGCTTTGCTATGAAACTCTGTGATCGGGCTTAGTTTTTTGGGAGGAAAATAAGGGGGGAAAATTCTGCCTCTGCCTACCAACATCCATCGGTATTCATCTGGCTAGTGTCCTGTCATTGTGTTAGAGCAGGGGGTCACCAACTTTTTGGACCTCAGGGACCACAAAACTCATAATTTTAAATCCCAGGGACCACTAACCAGTTCTGTGGGTGTGGCCTAATTTGTGGGTGTAGCTTGGTGGTCATGTGACTGGCTGGGCATGGTTTGTATGTAAATATTATAAATATTTATCTAAATATTGATTTTTTTATTTAAAAAGAGCAAGTTTTACCCCAAATCAGGCAAAACAGGCAGGCAGACTGAGTTGCTCACAGAATCATTTAGTGATCTATCTATCTGCCATTGGCTAGCTCAGTCTGTCACATAACATTTGCTTTCAAGCAAACTCATAAAATTTGCTAGCAAGTAAACTCACAACACACCATGTATATAAATATTGAATTTTTTATTAAAAAAGAGCAACTTTTACCCAAAATCAGGCAAAGCAGGCAGGCAGATTGAATTGCTCACAGAATCATTCAGTGATCTATCTATCTGCCATCGGCTAGCTCAGTCTGTCACATAACATTTGCTTTTCGTGAGTCTGCACTGAATGGAACCTTCAGTCCTAAGGGAAGTTCAGCTGTGCTTAAAAGCAGAGCCGAAGATCTAAAGACTAGCTGGAAAGCAAGAAATCCAACCTTTTCCTGCTTCCTAGCTAATCTAAATCTCCTGGGACAGCAGAACAGATGATGGCTGAAAAAAGGAAAAATAGCAATTTTAGCAGGCAAGATTGTTGGGTAAGGAGTGAGTGGATGGGAAGCATTCCTGTGGGCCATGTGGACGGCGCAGCCTTGTGTTTCTGTGTAGCCTGGATTAATTGCTTTGGGGGGGGGTGTTCTGGGGGTGAGATTTCTCTGCAGCCCACCAAAATTTTCTCATGGCCCACCAGTGGGGCCACGGCCCACTGGTTGGCGACCGCTATGTGAGAGAGTTGAGAGCTGTTTGGAAACTGAAGCAGTATTGGCTGTGTGATCAAGAAGGAGACAGCAAGGAGCCTGGGCATGGCTTACCTCAACTGTTCTGTACTAAAGCTGTTTGGTGCTGCTGTGAATCTAAATCTAAAACTGAAACTGAAACTCCTCTCCTCTGCTTGTGTTATGCCTTTGGAAGAGATTTCTTATCAGGTCGGGAGAGGAAGTAGAACTCCTTAGCATCAGAGCATGTTAATAATAATATAGGAAATACTAAAGCTCTGGTGATCATTTCCAAAAATCCTTTCTTAGTGAGCACCTAGAAGCCAAGAGGAACATATGTGCCAAATTTTGTAGGCTTTATGGTCCTGGAGATTTTGTGATAATGTGTGAGTGGTATTTCACATAGACAGACAGACAGACAGACAGACAGATGATAGATAGATAGATAGATAGATAGATAGATAGATAGATGATAGATAGATAGATAGATATTCTACCTGTGTGATCAGAAATGCTCCCATTTGAACAAGGGGTACATAGGTAGCAGCAAACCTGTTTGCCCTCTGGGACACTTCTCCTCTCGCCTGCCTGGCATCTCTTCCTGCTACACCTGGCAAGGGGCACTTTCTAAAAGGGAGAAATGCTTTAGATCAGGGTGTCAAACTCAAGGGCCCAGGGGCCAGATCTGGCCCATGGGGTGTTTAGATCTGGCCCACAGGGTTGCCCTGGAAACAGTGAAGGACCAGCCTGCAGTGTCTCTGCCAGTGAAAACAGAACTCAGGAGGGCCACGGGAGGCCATCCTGAGCTCCATTTTTGCTGGCAGAAGGTTGCAGGAGGCCATTGCAGCCAAAAACAGAGCTCAGGAGCCCGTTTTCCCTAACAGAGCACTCAACCCTCATGCAGCCCTCAATGAAATTGAGTTTGATACCTGTGCTTTAGATGAATGTAACAATGGACATGCTTCATTTATCCATTGCCACATTCTGTGTCCTTTAAGGCACAGAATCTAATTTCCGCACAAATCCACATAATTAAAGTATAGACTTCTCCCTCCCCCTATTCGTGCAGGTGTAAGGCATCCAGAAAGTATCCATGATATAAATCACTCCGAGACATTTTCTCTCCATGTCTGGCATGTCAAAGGCAATTTCCCAAAGTGAAATTATTTTCACGCGTTACACAGAATCCACCTTCTCTCTTCCCTTCTCTTCTCCCACTTCTACACTTCATAAATCATGAGAACCAATTAACTGCAACTGGAATTTCTTAATACGACATACAGAATAACCTTGAACATTTCAACTCCTCCACCCCCCCTTCCATGAAATGTGACAGCTGAATTTTAAAGCTGACAGCATGTCACATTGTGCAATTGAGTTTCATGATATTGTTATGAGAAAATCTCTTTGGGGTTTTGGCAAACACCTGCTGAAGTGTCCTTGGTTCTCATTGCTACTGTTCTTGATATTTGGAGTCTACATTCTCTTTCCCCCTTCTTTTGCCCCTAGTTTGTTGGGAAGCTGAGAAGTGATAGTGGTTGCAACAGCATAAGCACGCTTCAAACTTTACACACACACACAGACACACAGACACACAGACACACAGACACACA